GAAATTGGTAATAAATGATGTCAGGAGATGTAACCTTTTATTTAAAACTATTAATTTTTTAGAAACCTTAACACAGCTGGGTGGCTGAGATAATATAGGAAAAGTCAGAGAGAAGCTACAATTAAATTAGTCATAGTCTTGATAACAATCTTCTAAAATAGGTTTCTCATTCTCATTTTATAGATGTACAGAGAGGTTAAAGAGGTTGCCAACATCACTCATCAGGATGTGAATGCTGGCAAATGGAATGAGATCACAGTTGTAGCAACTAGTTTGGAAATGTTTATGCTAGTTAAGAAACTGAGCTCTACTGGGAGGTCTATGCAGTCTGGAGACCCTCGCTGTAAATCTACTAATAGAAAGCTTCAGGTTTTCTATTATTTGAAATATACTGCCCCTCCACTCTAGAAATAGTTATTCTTAGGAATTAGTGTATTTGTTAATTTTTAAAAAGATGTACTTTAGGCAACAAAGGATGATAAACATTAAAGAACAGACCTTTAATAAATGTTTTTATATAAAGTACAGTTTTGTTTCATTCATTCTTTTATTCAATAACCTTACTGAGTTGAATGAGAAGAATCCTAATTGTATCTCTGGGGAACACTGAAAGACAATGGTCAGGCAGAAAAAGGGAAGCTCTCAGGAAGCCTGAAAAGGAATGGCCACAGACAGGAGAAGGTGAGGACATAAAAACCAAAGAGACAGTGCTTCAGGACAGGGAAACAGATTTAACAGGAGGAGAGGTGTAAAGTTTCAACTAATTAAATTTTAAAACTAAGAAGCAGAACAAAGTATTGTTGTTGTTGTTGTTGTTATGTGCCGTTGAGTCGTTGAGTCGTTTCAGACTCAAAGCAACCCTATGCACAACACCCTGCTCTATCCTGTGCCAACAGCACCGCCTCTGACACACCCATCCCGCCTCTGACACACCCATCCCGATTACCCAGTCACCGAATCAATCCATCTCCTAGAGGGTCTTCCCCTCCTGCGCTGTCCCTCCACCCTCCCTAGCATGATGTCCCTCTCCAAGGACCCGTCCCTCCTGGCAACATGTCCAAAGTATGTCAGACGAAGCCCCAGAATCCTTGCCTCCAAGGAGTAGCTTGGTTTACTCCTCTCCAAGATGAATCTGTTTGTTTTCCTGGCAGTCCATGGTACATTCAGTACCCTTCTCCAGCACCACAGCTCAAAAGCATCCACTCTCCTTCTGTCCTCCCTAGTCATTGTCCAATTCTCTGATGCATAACAAGCGATTGCAAATACCATGGCCTGTATCAGGCGCACCTTAGTCTCCAGAGAGACACTGTTGCTCCTGAGTACTTTAGAGAGGTTCCTAACAGCAGACTTTCCCATCGCGATACGCTTTTTGATTTCCTGACTGCTGGTGCTAAGAGTGTTGACTGTGGAGCCGAGCAAACTGAAGCTGTGAACATTCTCAATCTCTTCGTCATCCATCCTGATGCTGCCAACTGGTCCAGTGGTGAGAATCTTTGTCTTCTTGACATTGAGCCTCAGTCCATACTGAAGGCTGCAGTCCTTGACCCTTCGCAGCAAGTGCATGAGGTCCTCCTCAGTTTCAGCAAGCAGGGTTACTCAATAAATAATAACAATTTTTTTTAAATAATAAAAAAAAAAGGTTACAGGCAAACATTAGGTGATTTTGCTCCCTTTCAGGAAAAAGAAAAAAATTCAGCCCCTGGCCCTCTGGAACCTCACTTCTTAGGTGTATATGCTTCTCTTTAATTTTATTTTCTAGGTTTTATTTATTTTGCTGTTGTTACAGAGGGGAGATACACACACACACACACACACACACACACACATTTCTACATGGACAACCTAATGATTACGATCCTCAAGCTGTTCAGCTGCTCTCACCCTCCTCCCTCTGAGTAAATGAGATCCCATACCGTCAAATCTTAAAAGGTATATAATACTCAAGACAGACATTTTTTTTACTACTTAAGCTATACTATTGTTCGGTCTTAAGATTTTTTTTTAAATAAGGCTTAACGATTATCTCAGAGCAATAGTTTCTGAGGGTCTTCTGGCCTCCATGGCTCCATATGGGAAGCTGAAATTCTGTCCTTTTTTCTCCTCTTTTGATTTGGATTCATCTATAAACTCTGATGAGAATGTTCAGTAATGACAGGAAGACAACATACAGTTCTGGTTTTATGGTAAAGAATACAGATATTCATGGAGCTATTAGCCATGCATTGCAAATATTTCTGACTCTTTGTTGCTCTAGGCTAACAGAGACCAAATACTGTAACCTGAATGGCCACGTACGTGCAAGTTTTTAAGACTCCAAGTACTATACAATGAATAGATTGTAGAACAGAGGCAACAAATAGGTCACATAACTGGGATGTCTCATGAAACCATGACCCTAAACCTCCAAACTAAGGAGTCAGATCCCATGAGGTGCCTGAACGTACACAAGCAGCATTCTGTTTGTTTGTTGTTGTATGTGTACATATACAAACACACACACATACACATATCATGCCTTTTCCTAATTCAATGCTTTAAAGGTGCTTACTATAGCTGTATGTGTTGTTGTTGTTAGATGCCATAATGACCTATAAACAACAGATTGGAACCATGCCCAGGTTCAAAAGCATCGAACTGTGTGAATCAAAACAAATTACGGCTAACATTAAGAAGAATGGAAACCCCAGAAAACTAACTGTTCTCAGGCAAAACTTATACCTACCAAGAGCCTATTGTAGAAACAGATCAAGAGAACACTGCATGGTTTAAAATAACTGTATATGGGAGGTTTTAAAATCAGTAAATTTGAGTCCTCCTATTCTGTTCATGCTTTTCAATAACATTTTATCTGCTTGGGGCCTCTTGCCATTCCATAAAAAGTTAAAGAGTGGTTTTTCTATTTCTGTAAAGAAGGTGGTTAGAATTTTACTTAAGACTGCTGAATCTATAGATCACTTTGCTTGAGGTATGTGTACACAAGTTCCAATTTCTCTTTCACAACGATTTACCTTTCACAAGGTTCATATTCTCTTAAAAATAGTCCCCGCTTCCCCACTTACACCTCAATAAAACTGATGCTCTTAGCAACTACTCCCATGTAACGCCAACTCTCAGTATTCTGCACTCTTATCTCAGCTATCAGTCAGGGTACACCCACAAACACTCACTCTAGCAAGCACGAGCCTACCAACAGGGAGTCTCAGTCCTGTGCAGTTTGGGTTCCACTGCAGTCACTCTCACAGCGAGTTTTCTCTTCCATATGCTTAAAGCCACCTTAGGAGGTCGCCTCATGGCTAGTTTTTAGCTGCTGAACGAAGGGCCAAGGTAAGAATCCTCTTGATTATGTCTGGTTTGTCACATTACCAGGGGCATCAAAACAGCATGAAATCTGCTGCTCTAAATAAAGAGCTCAAAAGATTATTCTAGAACAGTTCTGAGAGGCTTGGAGAGATCAAGATGAGGCTGCAGTCACTCATTCACATTGAGCTTTAATAGCAACTTCCCAGGGGCTTTTTGAGGCTGTAAACTGCTGGAAGGACACTGCCCATCTCTCCTGAGGAAATTTTGTCATCAGAGCTCTGTCTTAATCTAGGTATTATTGTTGCTGATTGCCATCGAGTTGAATGCCACCCATAGTGACTCTATGAACAAAAGACCTAATGCCTTTCCATAATTGTCATTTCACCAAGTTCATAGAGTTTCCAGAGGCATGTGGTTTAGGAAGTGGATGCCACTCCTGTTCCAAACCTGTTTTACAACTGGGAGCTCCACCAAACACTGTCCACATTGGGAAGCCATTCTGGTATTTGATATCCCCTTGGCACAATGTTCAGACATTATTATTAATTGGTATAAAAATAAACTTGATTATAGCAAAAGTGAAACATTCTTTTGCTTCATTTAATCATATCCTGCTGAAATAACTACTTTGGTGTGACAAGCAAAATATTTTTATATGCGTATATATTTCTTTACTCAGGTAAGCATACAGTTTTCTAATCAGCAAAGATGCTCTAGGTACTGGATTACAGAATGCCACAGAAGCAAGGAAGTTGTAGTCACAGAATAAAACTAAAGGTCACCCATTGTTTGCACTGCATTAAGCACTCATAAATCCATTACTTAAGGCCATCCTGAATGAGTAGATTTGTACTATGGCTTTCAAGGCCTGTGATTACACAGTCATCAATAAAGGGCAGGAAGAGAATACAGAAGGTCTTACAACCTTTCCTCTCTTTTTGTTTACTGACTGCAAGGTTGATGGGAGGGAGACCTAGTCCTGTTCTTGACAACACTTCTCCATAGAGAATTAAGCCTGAGGTCCTAACTAAAATTACCTCATTGTCTTTTTTAAGTAATGGACTCATTAATTCTCATGGATATTGATTAGAGGAGAAAAATGCATTACACCCTAATTAATGAGACTGTCTTAGTAAAAGGGGAAATGTTGCATAAAGTTAATTTGATTTTAGAAATTATTTTATTAACGAAAATGGTTTTATATGAAGGTTGAGACCATCTAGTACATTAACGAAATTCAATCTGGGAAACAGACCTATGTTTGGACATTCTACAGTATCTTGAAAAAAAAACAGAAAGTTACCATTAAAAACCAAAATAGGCAGAAGATGGCTTTCTCTAGAAAGAATATTTTTTGCCTTAATTGAAAATTTCAAAAGAAGTACTGAACTTATACTGGGGGACTCAATCTCTTTTGGATAGAGATCATTGGGAGATATAGAGCATATATTAACCCGGTTCTTAACATTCAGTCTATAGCATGGCTTTTCACACAGTAAACAGTCCTTTTTACAGCCTTGAGTTTTCCCTGGGTCCTTCTTCAAGGGGATTTTGCTTAGGTAACATCATTTGTTTCTTTATATGCCTAATATAAAGATCTGTTAATATGCTTTTAAAAAAAGCTTATTAAAAATTTTAAAGGCGTATCAGGTGCTATAAATCAACATAAAATTAGCAGACACATATAATATACAACTTACCTGGAGCAATAAACTGTTTAACATTGGTGAGCCGAGACTTATCAGCCACATTAGCCAGAAAGCAGCCCTTTGGCACAGTCCAGTCGCTGGGCTTGCCGTTTTTGTCCTTGTCTTCTGCTGTTTCATATACCTCTATGTGAGGGGGTTTCTCAGTCAGGTTCTTGCTGTAATGACTTAACCCGTACTGTGCAATCTGGATTGGGTAGAAATAGCCTTGAGGCCCCCACTGTGTAGATAATGGCACACCTACAAAATAAGAGACAAAATGACGAACTGTGCAAAGACATTTACAAGCCTATTTTGAACACCACTTTCCGCTGTTTTACGTTTGGAGAATACTTCCTGTTTATAATGTTTCACAATTAGTAAAGGCCAGTACTGAATTAACCAGAAGACACAGAAAACAAGCTTAAATATTCATACACTCATTCAGTACTAGGGATGACTGGTGGCACAGTCTGTAAGGAACTCCTCTTGTTAACCCAGAGGTGAGTTCGAATCCACCAGCAGCATTCTGGGAGAAAAATGGATCATTTCCTCTGGTGCAACTGAAAATCCACTGGAAGATCAGCTTTGAGTTGGTTGTTTTTTTCCCCCATTCAGTTTGGTTGGCAGATAGCAGTGAAATGTTATAAAATAAAATATTTTTTATTAAATATTTTTAAGGACTGACTTTTTATGCATATGTTACTTTTGATCATAGCTACAGAGTTAAGCCTTACAATCTTGTTTTGCATAATGAAATTTTATACAATTTAGATAAACATAGATAAAATTACCATCAAGCTTTATTCTAGAAAATAAAGTTCTGACATTTTATAGAACATTTGTACTGAAGAAAGGACACACACCTGAGTTTGTTCTCTTTTTAAAGTTGTTGTTGTTATGTGCCATCGAGTCGTTTGCGACTCATAGCGACCCTATGTACAAGAGACCTAAATGCCGTTCTATCCTGTGCCAACCTCGCTGTCTCAAACACATTCATTCCCACCACTCCACTCACAGAATCGATTCATCTCATTGAGGCTCTTCCTCTCCTCTGCCATCCCTCCACTCTCCCAAACATGATGTCCCTCTCCAAGGACCAGTCCCTCCTTGCAACATGCCCAAAGTATGTCAGGCGAAGCTTCAGAATCCTTGACTCCAGGGAACATTCTGGCTTCACTCTCTCCAGGACAAACCTGTTTGTTCTCCTAGCAGTCCATGGTATATTCAACAGTCTTCTCCAGCACCACAACTCAAAGGCATCAATTCTCTTTCTATCATCCCTATTCAGTGTCCAACTCTCCGATTTAAAGTAGTGTACCTTAAAGTCAAATTCAAGTTGATTTTTAGTGTGAAAGGCTAATTCCAAAGTGTATTAAAAATGCTACAAGGACCTCCCAGTTTTAAAGACCATGAAGGAACAGCACACACTGCTAGACAGTATGTAATGGACTGTGGGAGGTTAGCTGGTACTTCAGAGACGATGCTATCTACAGGCTGGTGCTATCTTGTCTTGTAGGACTTGAACTCTCTCTGGGATGACACCTGGCACTGACAAGCTCACTAAGAGACCTTCCTTCCTTTTCCAACTCCTGCTAGAGGATAATGATTGTGTATTTTTTTTTTTTATAACTGTGCATTTTTAAGATATTTTTGGGAATGCTGTTCTTTGACCTTACTGGTGAGAATTTGAGATTCTGAGGCAGGTTAACACAGTAATTCCATTTGATGAAGTATGATCTTATTGCAGCCTTTAACCACACCCTGCAGAAAGAAGCCCTAGGCTCAGACTTAAGCCTTTTCCCTGCTAAGTCAGAGTGATGAGAGCTGTCTTGACAGTAAGCTATGTACTTGCTGTGTAATTAAAAACCCACACTTTCTTACTTTCAACACAATCAGCGTAGGAAAATGTAAGTGGAACAGACAGATACCAACCTTCAACCCCGCTTATGCACTTGACTCTGTCTCGGACTTCCACATTGTAGCCTTCAAAGGACATAAACACACCATCAGGGTGATAAGGGGCTCTCTGTGCATAGACTTTGGAATAGCTATGAGAGAATTCAAACCGTTCATAGCCATCATACTGAACCACCTTTCCGTAAACGTCAAAGTACTTCTCTACCCAAGTGAATGGAAGAAAAACTTCATTCCCCTCACGTCTCCCTTTAATCGTCTGCTCGTCATTTATGAGACAGTCAATTTCCTCATATTTGAGCCCTATCACCTTGCTTCCTGCGTTGGCATTGAAGCCGCCCACAATGGGGGGCGCTTTCTGCTGTTCCTGAGGAAATGCTTCCTCAGCCTGTGGCTTGCCCACGTGGTTCCCATAGGGGTTACTCTCAGACGCAGCTGCTCTTTTCTCTATTCCATCTCTGAAGCCACTGCTCGAGTGTCGTGGAAACTGGACCGCTTTGTCACTGGAACACTTGTTCCACAGAAGTACTGTGACCAATGTGAAGAGCGCACAGATGATAATCAAAGTTTTATAGTTGACCCGGGCTGCCAAGCAACGCATATTCAGACCATACCTATGGAGGCAAGAAGAAAGATTTATGCAAAGGTGCACTGCTGGGATTCCATAGGATAAAGATGCATTCTTTTTTTATGGTGAATAATCATGCTAAAATAATTTTATTAGTTTTATGTAATGTAATCAGACCTACAATTATTGGTTTACGTTTTCCAACTAAGACAAAGAAAACAAAAACAAAGGGTAGGTGTGTTTCCCCTTTGATAAAATATTTGGCATAATCCCTGGAAGCAGAGACTCTCAAATTTACTGGAGTTATAATTATAATCCCCATGGTGGCAGTACTTTTTTTTTTCATTAGGCATCTAACCAAAATATCTAATAGTTCCACTTACTAAGCAGTTACACCCAAACAATTTAGCAAGTAACAATTCAGTAGCTTAAACAAACAAAAAACAAAAACACAAAACATGGAATTTTAAAATAACATTATTAATGGAAGATTTTGGGCATTACATAACTTTCAAACTTTGTATTAAGATCAATCATCCTGCTAATGAATTGATTTTTGACTCACAGCAACACTCTATTGGCTCTCTGAGGCTGTAAATCTCATTAGCTGCTGGTGGATTAAAAATATCAATCTTTAGCTTAGCACTCAACGATAACCCACTATAATGGCAGTAAGAAGCTGTGCTATAATCCCAAAAAGCACATGGTTCAAATCCACAAGCTGTTCCATGGAAGAAGGATGGGCAATCTCCTCCTGTTTGATTAACTGCGTCTGAAAACCCCTGAAGGGTCAGCTATGGGTTGGTTCTGACTCGACGGTACAAAATAACAAAACAACAACAGTAATAATAATAACCCAAAGACATAGTTTGAATCCACCAGATGCTCTATAAGAGAAAGAAGAGCTAGCTCCTCCTCCTGTGAGATTTACTGTCTCTGAAAACCTGCTGGAGGGTCAGCTACGAGTAAGTCTGTTCTGACTCAAGGGTACATAACAAACAAAAAATAACTACTTAATACTTAAAATGTTAACCACCTCAAGGTAGTTCACACAATGCCTAAGAGATATCAAGTATCACTATGTTTCCATCCAAATTTTAAAACATGCTGTAACATCTCTCTGAGTCATGGTTCTGAAATTATGATCTTATGCAAGGTATTCAATTAAACACTCCAGTTCAGTGGTTCTCAAGCTTAGCATCAGAAGCACAAACAACATATGATCAAGAGGCAATGGTGATGAAAAAGGTATTTCAAGCTACTCTGAAGAACTGATGAAAGAAAAAAAAAAGACCCCAAGAATTGATGGAATACTGACATATTTCAACAAACAGATGCAGCCCTGCACATGCTCACCATGTTGGTCCAAGAAATCGGGAGGACAACTACCTCTCCAATGGACTATAAGAGACCAATATTTATTCTTACCCCCCCAAAAAGTGACCCAACAAAGTATGGAAATTATTGAACAATATCACTAATATCACACATAAGCAAAATTGTGCTGAAGATTATCCAAAACTGACTGGAACAGTACATACAGAACTACTAGAAATAAAAGCTGGGTTTAGAAGAGGCCAAGGCTCCAGGGACATTAATTATAGCCAATATCTGATGGATCCTGGCAGAAAGCAAAGAGTATTAGAGAAATGTTCATCTGTGTTTCATTAACTATGCAAAGGCAATTGACTGTGTGGATCACAACAAACTGTGGCTAACTCTGAGAAGAATAGGAATTCCAAAATACCTGACTGTGCTCATGCAAAACCAATACTTGAACCAGAAGGTAGTTGCAGAACAGAGCAAGGAAACACGACATGGATCAAAATCAGGAAGGGAGTGTGTCAGGGATACGTCCTGTCTCCATGCCTTTTCAATCTATGTGAAGTCAGTAGACTGGACTTTCAGAAGAGAAGTGTGGCATCAGGATTGGAGGAAGATGCATCATCAGCCTGCATTATGCAGATGATACAACCTTGCTTGTCAAAACATAGGACGACTTGAAACATTTACTGTGGAAAGTCAAGGACTGTAATCTTTAATATGGATTGAAGCTCAACATCAAGAAGACAAAGATTCTCACTACTGGGCCAATTGCAGCACCATGATGGATGGAGACGAGATTGAGGTTGTTAACAATTCAGTTTGCTTGCCTACACGATCAACACTCTTGAAAGCAGAAGTCAGGAAATCAAAAGATGACTTGCACTGAGGAAGTCTGCTGTCAGGGACCTCTCCAAAGTGCTAAAGAGTAATGATGTTAGTCTAGGAACTAGATAGGCTATGGTCTTTGCAATTACTTGCTATGTATCAAAGTCAGACAATGACTAAGGATGACAGAACTGATGATTTTGAGTTGTAATGCTGGAGGAGAGTCCTGAAAAAACCATGGACCACCAAGAGAACAATCAGGTCTGTATTGGAGAGGGTGAAACCAAGTTTTTCCCTGGAGGCTAGGATTTTGAATCTCTATCTCAAATACTTGGGCATATGGCCAGAAGGGACCAGTCCTTGGAGAAGGACATCATGCTTGGAAGGGAAGGGGGACAGTGCAGGAGAGGAAGACTCCAGATGAGATGGACTGACATGGTAACCGGGGGAATGGGGTAAATGTGTCAGAGTCAGTGATATTGGCTCAGGATAGGGCAGGCTTCAGAGCTATTGTACACAGGGCTGCTAGAAGTTGTGGGCAACTCAATGGCACAAAAACAACCTCCATACCAGCAGCAGAATTTTTGACTTAGTAGATCTGGAGTAGTGACCCCAAGCGGCTTCCTTTTTAATGACTTCCCAAGTGATACTGAAGCTCTAGGTAGGGGCCACATTTTGAGATCCCCTGGCCTAATCCTCTGGTTCTTTAGCTACTAATTTAAAAAATCAAATTCAAATGTACTACCATTGAGTCAGTCCAGACTCATAGTGAGCCTTCATTGGGTTTCAGATGGGAGGAGCCTGCTCATCTTTCTCCCAAGGTGTTGCTGGTGAATTTGAACCACTAGAGATGCAAAGACTTTAGGCTAACTGCTCAGCATGCTATGGACAACCCCACCAGAACAAGTATTGATTTAGACAACAGGTTTTCAAACTGTGTCAACACTGAGTCACAGGGTCTTCCAAGGAACATGATGAAGAAAAGAGAAGAAAAAGCTAGTAAATAGAGTCTCAAGCCTCTCAGGCCTCTTCAAACCAGAGAAGTTCTGTTTTCACCTATGTTCTAAAGTAAGAAAGTGCAGGGATAAGAGCAGTAATGGAGAAACTGCAATTAAATATACTCGTACACCTGTAATTACGACAGCACTTTTCCATCACAACTAGAATAAGGTTTCATGATGACAAGAGCCAACCTGTATATCTGCATATTCCGAGAACCCTGCCCAAGTGTGCAGTGAAGGAAGCATTGCAGATACTCTGTGTGTGTGTGTGTGTGTGTGTGTGTGTGCCTGTGTGTGCGAGTGTGAGCGAGAGAGCAGGCATACCCGTGTGTGTAATAGATATATACAATATGTAAAAAGGAAAATGCCTTTCTCATACTGTACTTAAAAAGTATCATTCTTAGCACACACATATTAACAGCAAGAGACAATGTTGGGCTTTCATTATGAATTCCTAGTTGGGGCGGTGGGTGGGAAACTTCATAAAAAGCAGCAGCAAGTAAAAGGACTTACAAAAACCAAACCAAACTAAAAAAAACCCCGAGGTCAGAGAATTTCAGGCTGAACTTCACGTTAGTTGGCAGAGTGAGCTGGTTTTGATACCAAAAAAAATAATAAAGCTGTAACATGAATAAGAGCATGTGTTTCTACAGTGCTTTAGCTGTGCTTTTAAAAACAAATATATTAAGATATAATTCACAAATCATAGAGTTCTATGAATTTCAGCATTTTTACAGAGTTGTACAACCATTACCATAAACTAATTTAAGAACATTTTCATCATCGTAAAAAGAAACCTTGTTCTCATTAACAATTACATCCCCATCTTCCCCATGGTCCTCTTTCCTACTGCTTAGCCCCAGGAGCCACAAATCTCCTCTTTTACACAGGCTTCCCTGTTTTGGACATTTCGGGGGCTAGGAATTTTATATTAACGTACCACACAATATATGCTCTTTTGTGGCCAGCTTCTTTCACCTAGTACGTTTCTGGGGTTCATTTGCAGTGTAGCAATTACTGGGACTTCACTGTCTTTCATGTGTATCATCCATTTTGTGTCGTAGCAAGAATCCATAATTAATATCTTTTTCTTATTTTCTAGCATATATATAATAATACTTGAGTTGTGGAACTATTTTCAATATGAATTACTCTAATTTACAAAAGAATCTTACAATGGAGATGAGACGTATCATCACTATTCTCTACAGGTTAGATAACAGAGGGTAACAACTCCATTTTCTACTTCTAACTTCTACAGTATGAGCCTTTTAAATGGAATAATGTTTTGATAATTTCTAATTTTTATATTTAGTGGCATAAGTCTCAAGTAACTGTATTAAACACATGGTATTTCTTCTTAGGCATTACCAGCTTTATTTTTACCATGGCTCTAACTTGAAAATCTGAATAGCTTTCTAATATGTAAATTCTACCCAGTACTTAACGATGGACTCACAGTCTCCTTTCACTTATCAACATGGCATGGTGCTCCAGACCAGGTTGTTACGTGAAAATGGAGGAGAATCACAAGGAATTAAATAATGGAGGACTACTGCGTCATCACAAAGTCCAGACCTCTGCGAGTCAAGTGGGCACATACTCTTAGCCACACAAGCCAGTGTTATTCTCATCTTACATCTTGGCATTTGTTACTGACAGATGTACATCGTTAACACACACAAGAGATAATAGATTCATGTGTTGTTGATAAATACAAAAGTCACATACCAACAGTCAATAAATAAAGAAGTATACTAATAATTCTTTACAAACTCTTCCAAAAAAAGGGAAGAGAACAGAGTCCAGTTGAATGAGAGCATGGTTGACACTGATGCCAAAAGTGGACAGAGAGATCACAAGAATAAAACCACCATTTCATTAATATAGACAC